TTTCACTACTTTCGCTATATCTTCTTTTTCTGTGGCAAGATTGCCCGATTTATCTCGCAGTTTTGTTATTTTAGCCTTCCCTTGTGACAATTTGGATTTTAGCACCTTCATACCTCTATTTTCCTCTATGGTGTTGTTTATTAATTCTGTATTATATTTTCTTACATCCTTTCTAGTATATTTCTTTTCTTTCTTTGTTAGCTCTTTATATTTTTGTCAGTTTCTTTCTGTGGTTCTCCTTTCCTCGAAAAGTTTTAATGTATTGGGACTGAATTTGTTTGATTTTCTTATTTTTGCAATATAATCTTTTTAATAGCAGTATCTATATCCATGGTTTTCAGATAGTCTGATCATTCCAGTTTATCTTTTAATGTTTGCTGTATTTGTTGTTGATTTTGCTTGAGAATGTCTAAGGTAGGTATTTTGTTTTTTGACCCCTTTACTTTCTTTTCTTAGGTTTATTTAGAAGGTGGGTCTTACCAATCTATGGTCGCTGCATGTGTCAAACTTATTAAGTACGGATACTTTCTTGCAAGATGTTTTCTTGTTTGTAAGAACAAAATCGATCTCGTTTCTTGTGCGACCGTCCGGACTTTCCCATGTGCATCTTCTCTGGGGTTGTTTTTTGAAGAATGAGTTCATGCAGTAAAGTTGTTCGCTTTGTAAGTATTCTATTATTTCGACGCCCGAAACTAAAATTTCCAATATTTAATGGATCTCCTTCCTTTCGTTGTCCGAGCTTTGCATTGAAATCGCCAGTTATTATAACTAATTGTGTATTTTCTAGTGATTGGCTCTTGTTATATCCTCGTATAATTGTTCGATTTCTTCATACTTTGAGGCAGTTGTAGATGCATGTACGTGTATGATCTGTATTTTAAATTTCCTACTCCGTTCTCGAATGATATATAGGACTCGGTTTGAGGTTGAATGCATTTTTGTTACTGCGTGTTTTATATTTTTATTTATTAGGATGGCAATGCCTCCCAATGAAGATTCTGTATTGTTTTGGTATGACGGGTGACCAGATTTTAGGTTGGTAGCTTTTTGTCCTTTGATTCTTGTTTCGCAACGTCCTAGGATGTCCCATTTGATGTTCTCTAGTTCTTGTTCTAAGCATGTTCTATCTCTATGAACGATGCTTCTTCGCGCATCGTTCTTATGTTATATGTTGCCTAACTCCTCCTGAGTTGAGTTTAGTGTTCTGTTCATTTATATAGTTTTGGTTTTTAGTCGACTTCTTGCTCCCCCATATTCCTTGAAGCAGACTGACAGCGTGCCGTCAGTCTGGGATTCCGAACTTATCATTCGACCCACCTGGGAACTATTTTGAGGTATCGACATTTCTCTCCATTACTAGAAGGGGGTTAGCCGTTTATTCGTCACGCTGGCCGTTGCAAGTTGACGAGTGGTTCTGAGGAGTTGTGGGGGGGATTCTTGGTTTGGATAGGATAGGAGGGAGGGTAGGACAATGATTTCCCAGGTTTTGACTCTGGAGATAAACCAAGGCTGGCGTGGGCAGGGGCGCATCCCTGAAGTAGATCTGTCGTCTATCGGGACCATAGACGAGTACCTACACACTACCCGTAACCGACAACCGTTAGTTCTACACATTTATTATTTCTAATGGTGGTTGTCGAAGATGTCGTGGGGCTTGCTAGGTGCACAACTTCGCACACAGGATTCTCTCGCCATGTATTTTTCTCTGGGGTTACTTGAAAGAAATAGTGTACCCCAACCGTCCTCAAACCAACAGTGTTTTGAAACATTATTACACACACAACAAACTAGAGCACGTGCCGTATTGAAATACTGCAAACATATTATAAAATAAAAACAATTAATATCGTCGCGTATGTTTTACTGTTCTTGGAAATATGTACATTTTTACCAGACCATGTTATTTAAGTAATTAATGTTATTTACCGAACTATGATCGTCTTTAAAGAATCAAGATACATAAAAAGTTTTATTTATAGAAAATTCTAGAAAGATGTATTCACTCCAGTGATATTGCAATCAAACTCGATTCATTTACTGGTACAGAATTGGAAAAGAATCAAAGTTTAAAGGATTATCATGGATTTTTCTACTTGACAAAATTGGCAGCGATAAATTCATTGGCATCCAAAAATTCCGGATCGATAGAGTATGTTTTTAAATTGAGAAGGAAGAAGTTTAGCATATCTGTGCTACACTTGCCACCTGGTAAGCAAGATACATTATTTTTGCAGATAACAACTACCAAGAATTTTTGTTTTCAGATATAGAAACTAAAGGAGACCAGATGGACAGTAATCCTATGTTGGGATGTTGTGGTGGAAGTAACAAAAGTTTGTTGGAATTTTAGTTATGAAATATTTCAGTAATTCAAATATGTTCCTTAATAATTTGTAAATAAATCTTTTTATTAAGAATTTATTAATTGTGAATCAAGAAAACTTAATTTGAATCTGGAAATATGTTCTTTTACTGTCAATAAAACATGCAAGTATTTGTATTAAACAGGGTCCCACATTTCAAACAATAGTCTGATTAACCACAGAAAACCCTCACCTGAAAATTAATAGTAGATTTACTATAACTACACATTTCCTTGCAAGTCTGTCTAATAGTAAATCGGATGAAAAGGTTTGGCTTTACTTAGACCTAAAGCGTCTGATTTAATGTGCTGTAGTTCTTCTAATATCTCTAGATGTTTATCGTGCCTCTCTAGATGTTTATCGTCTATCGAAGTATTATCTGCATCTGGACAATTTCTTGATTTTTTGCTGACATTTGTCTAGTTTTGCCTCCTCCAGAATTTATGGTAGCCCAGGCGAATTACGACGAAATTTTTCAAATTTGGTTCTAACATGACGTAACTAAATTAATTATTAATTAACTAATTAAATTGGCCAACGAGCCCAATTAATTGGTAGTTAAAGCAATCAATTTTAAAAAGTGGACAGCTAAATCGTTAGCTAACTATAACTTATTAATTCAATAATTGTCGACAAGATGAGTGGAAAGTCTAACTGAATATAGAAAAAAATTTACAATTTGGATAATTTCGAATACTTAATCGTGTGCTATTTGCATAAACAGCAAAAAAGTGAAAAAAATGCGAGAATCGCAAATAACCCGGTAATTATGTATTTTAGCGAAACAATGTGTACTAATAAATTTGTTCGCTATAAAGTTTTCTATAAGAAAGAGTTGGTTCGATATTCGTAGATTTGAAATGGTGGAAAGTGCATAAAAGTAGGTAAAAACAAGGTAATTTTAAATTATTTATTTATTTAGCAACAAAAAAATAACTTAATCGCGCCATCCATTTAGAGAAAAGTACTTGACTGCAATACAAAACGAGAGCCGCAAGGCCGATTAAGATCGTACGGACAGTTTTTGCATAATGCAATTGTTCATTAACCTACTTATTAATTAATTAAATTAGTCCTTTTCTTTAATTTTGTGTCAGGTTCAAAGTTATTAATATATTTTTGCGCCCGCGCTTTCACACCTTGGATCCTTAAACTATCATATACGATTGCTATGTTGACTATTTTTGAATTTTTAATAAGTTTGAAAATGTTGGCTTATAAACAATAAGCCTGTGAAGCGGGACTCGCAAGTGGCTACAAATCGGAAAGTTTGAAATAACAGTACTTGGAAAGACGCTTCTTTCAAAAAGAAAATCATCCAAGTCGATCCAGTTGATGTTGAGATATTAACTTCCAAATTTGGGCAGGGTATGCGGTAAAACGGTTAATGATATAACAATAAATCATCTACCAATCTATAGGTTTTTCCATTTAATTTTTTTGGTTGATGCACTAGTCATGTATTCACAATGTTGTGCTTTTTGTAAAATCTTGTAGCATTCATAGTTTTTGCGCAAAAAAAATGTGTCTATTTTCTTGCTACTTAACAATGTTAGACATTAACTGCAAATATGCGGCGCGTAAACGCGTACGCTTTTACGCAAGTTGTCTTCGAAAAACTCTAACACTTTGACCATGTCGGTCACTTTTTCATTAGACAAGGTCCTTCGAAACGAATTTGTGAGATTGATTGACAATTAATTTATGCCTCGTGTCACGACATTTGCAGTTAATGTTTGCAGAATTTTTTTTTGCAAAAACTGAATGCTACAAGATTTTACAAAGAGCACAAAATTGTCATTAAATGATTAGTACATCAACCAAAAAAATGAGTTGATTTCCTCTACCAAATAAAAAGTTCTAGTAGTTTTTGTACCACGACACTCAAGACTTCACCACTTGTCCAAAACGGTCGAACTCGATTGTTTCACCAAATTTGACTTGTACATAAGAACAAATTTACATCGAGTTTTCCCAAAATACATTGTACCATTATCCCGATATTTCCAAAAAGATAAATTTTTTGAAGAACTTGAACTTGAACTTTGACCATCAATAGCAGAAGAGCCAGACATTTTTTGTTATAAATGTTAGGTCAGATAGTCTTCTTTTGATCCAAAGAATATCGCAGTATTCTTTTGATCATGTGATTACGGGACGACATGTATATCGGCTTCTACTGCAGCGATTTTGATTTCATTTGTTTTTGCGAATCTCACTGCGTCTTACGATACAGTCTAAATGCAAGGTATGCTGCTGAAATGAATACAGAGCGCACAATGCACTAATACGACCAATCTCATTAGCAAATGCTTACAAATATATTGTGAGCAAAGACAATCAGTATACCTACCTCAAGAGGAACTATGAATAATAATAATAATCTTTATTTTAACATTGATGATCGCATATAACGTCTTATATACAACCAATATTGGGCTCCTTTGGACTAAATAAGTTTGGATAAGCGGATGATCTCGAACTTGCCACTTATCATAAAGACATCAGGGCAGCCGATGACCTTGACAAGATGGAGACAGGCTCAGTATGAGTAAAGCAGAGTCTTTTTTTCATCTAAATAATACAACTGCTGATAACAATCTTGCACCAGTTAGCGGTTTCCGCATGGGGTGGATCAGCAACTATATTGAGAAACGCAGCACTTCGTCTGGTTTATTCAGTGGCAGAAATTTGCGCGCCGATGTGGATCAACATGTCCGTGTGGCCGATGTCATTCCAAATGGAGAATTTAACTTGCGCACCATTACGGGCACTCTAAAATCAACTCCGTTATACTGGCCAGCAACCGTAAGTCACATTAAACCTCACCTTCCAACTCTGACGTCGTTTAAAATCGAGACGCTGTGCGATTATTACAGAAAGGAACTAGTGAACTCCCATTTTACTATTAAGGACGGATGGCAGCGAATGTGAGCTTAGAATGCCCCCAGAAGTGGGCACGGGCTCCGACGGCACGGATACTAAGAACAACCAACAAATTAATTAAGGACATGACATTTTCGTCCGAGGAGTTGGCCAAACACACAAAATCAGAAGCACTCCCACCAAGGCTCTACGCACTGCCCAAGATCCATAAATATGATGTACCACTGAGACCCATTGTGGATTGATTGTGGACCCATTGTACCATTGAGACCCTATTGGAAGTTCGACCTATGATATTCCAAATATCTAACAAGAATTTTACAGCCCAAAATAGGAAAAACTGACAGTTTCATAAAGGACTCGTCCCATTTTGTTGAGAGGTTGCACTCGTCATTAGCTCCCGGAGAAATCCTTGTGAGTTTTGATGTTTTTTCGTTGTTCATAATGGTACCAATTAAGAAGGCAATGGAACTTATTGAAAGAGAATTTCCACCAGGCAGCGCCAAACTGTTCGAACACTGCTTAACCACAACCTACTTTCAGTGGAAAAACGAATTATATGAACAGACGGATGGAGTAGCAATGGGCAGCCCCCTCAGTCCGGTGATAGCCAACTACTTTATGGAGAAATTTGGAATGGACGCTCTGGACACAGCCGCGAGGAAACTAAGTGTTGGTTTCGATATGTTGATGACACTTTCGTTGTTTGGGGCCATGGTCCGACTGAACTTGAAGACTTCCTGAGGCACCTCAACTCAATCAACCCAAAAATACAGTTCACTCTGGAAGTGGAGAAGGATAGGCGACTGCCATTTTTAGATGTGTTGGTAACCAGAAAAACCAACGGAAAGCTGGCCCACACGGTGTACAGAAAACCGACACATACCGACCGGTACCTGCACAGTGGATCAAACCATCATCCCAGTCAAAAGAGGGGACATTAAAACCCTCACCGAAAGAGCCAGAAGAATTTGCGAACCAGCTGAGTTAGAAAGAGAATTGAAACACCTAGAAAGGGCCTTTGGTTGGAATGGATACAGCACGAACGAGTTTAATCGAGCAATTCGACCAAGAAACAGTGGAGGTCGTCCGGAGAAAACAGATACGCATGATGACCGTAAGGGTTGGGCTTGCCTGCCATACATACATGGAGTCACGGACAGGATCGGCAGGATACTGGAGAAACACAAAGTAAAAACAGTTTTTAAACCAACTCGAACAATCCAACAGACTTTGACATCGGCCAAGGACAAACGGGATTCTTTATCAGCACCAGGAGTCTACAGAGTTCCATGCAGTTGTGGCAAAGCATACATCGGCACCACAAAACGTAGTGTAAATACTAGGATCACGGACCATGAAAGGAGTCTTAGATTAGGACTCTCAGGAGAAAAATCTGTAGTAGCGGAGCACGCACTTCTAGACGGCCACCAAATAGGTTTCGATGAAGTGGACATTTTGCACCAATCTCAACGGTATTACCCGAAACTAACCAGAGAGGCCATTGAGATCTTTAAACATGACAACAATGTTAATAGGAAAGAAGAGGCAACGGCCCTTAATCCAGATTGGAAACGCGTTTTGCGGCAAATAGCGTGTGCGCCAGAACATTTGAAGCCCCGCCCACGCCCCACGCATGAGTTCACACGGTGGGGCCGCATAAATACGACAGGGGATCCAGTAGTTGAACCATACAGAGTTCATACTTTGATAAACATGCAGAGCTACAGTGTTGGACGTTAAAGTGAAAGCTGTTACAAGGGTTTACCATTCTTGGTTTGCCTAAAGTTCCTGTATTACGCTGCTATTAGTGTGCTTTTCAGCACGTTTATACAGCTAGTGCTGAAACTTCTGAAGTTTTTCTTTTGTATTGTGTGTGTTGCAAGACATGGAGGAGTCCAAAGCAGTGCTCGCAGAGGAGGTGCTGAGGCGCTTTGAGGCGCTCGAGGCAAAACTCGAGTCAACGATGCTGGAAGTTGCATTTTGGAGAGACCGGGCGGTGAAAGCGGAAACGCTGCTAGCAGCCAAGAACTCCAAAATGCAGGATGTGGCTGCGGAGGAAAAAATGGAGGAAAGCACAGCCTCCACCAGCAGTGACAGTGACTCGCTGAGGCGGCAGCTCCCTCAATTGCCTCCAAGGAGGGCAGGGGCCGGTGACGGACTCCTCAGACGGCGAGGGCTATCAAAGCTCAAATCGCCGTCGAAGGAGGAAGCGAGCCAGGCCTGTGTCCTCCAGCGAGGACAATTCTAAGGCACAGAATTTGTCCACAGATCC